TAAAATTTGAGGTGATTTTTTTAGCCATTTTTTGGAAAAAAACCATGGGCTATAGTACAGGGATTTTTTCAAAATTTGGCCAATTTCTTTAAATGGCCATAACTCTAAAAATTAAAGTCGGAATCACCTCAAACTTTCTACACAGCATAAACACATCAATATGTATCAAAAATGTAATAAAAATTTGAGGTAATTTTTTAGCCATTTTTTAGAAAAAATATGGGCTATAGTCCATGGTACTATATATAGTAATACTATTAATATTGCATTTAACATACAGTATAAATTTTTATATATTACTTGTAGTCCTTTCACATATAAGATACTGGTAGTCAGGCTCCTCCTCGTCATTGCAAAAGTCATACAACTGGCCAACAGTCCTACCTCTTGATGCCATGTGGCTCAACAGTGATATAGTGGGACTCTTCCCTCTCACTTCCTGCTGGGATAACTGCTGCATCTGTAGAGGACTGAGATTACGATGATGATGATAATTTTTAAAATTAAAAATTATTTTTGTACCCGTATTCTGGCATCGTTGAGAGCAAGTCTTTCCAGTTGAGGGTGTGAGACGAGTCCAGAAAGGCGGCAATCTTTCTCTGGGATCCATAAGACATCTCATTAGTGCTCAAATCCCTCCAAGAACCAGCTCTAACGTAGACATCATTTTGCAATTTCTTTCTAGTGGACCTCTTCCTCCTCCTGACTTCAAGTTCATTGTGATCCCCAGGCTCAGGCTGCACTGTGGCCTGCAATTGTGACATCCTGCCCGGCCAGCATCTGCTGCTGCAGGCTTAAGCATATTCTGTCTCATTAGGCTCCATGTCATCTGCTAATGAGGCCATTTGTTGTCAGTCTCTGTATATACTTCTTGGGCCTGCCTTCTGTCTATGAAGTACATTATACACTATATGTAGATAATGTTAATTAAGTATCAATCACCATTTTAGTACTTACCATTATAATGCCGAGCATAAATCCTACTGAGCATTTCTTGGAGTACTCAGTAAACATCATAGTTGTAAAACCCTGAGCAGCTATATAAAAATTGAGAAAATAAAATATATGACAGCTAGGTCCTTACCATTTGTAGTATCATTTGTAACACGAGAATTACATGAATGGTTTGTTTGTCTGAGGTTTGTGACAATTAACTATGTTTAAATTTGTGTCACACATTTTGTTGTATAGAATGGCCACACCTCTAAAACCACACCTTAGGAGAAAGCTGATGATGAAAGCTATGC